AACATATACAGAATGACATCTCCCATCATCTCCTCTTTTCTGTCTAAAATAACATGAAGGGTTTTAACCTTAACATAGCAAAATATATCACATAACAGTTATCAAATAATCACAGTTAACACTATTTAGTCCATTAACATTTAGCAAGATTTGAAGAAATTATTCCATCATCTATCCTATCTTTGTGTGTCTAAAGTAACTTATCTTTAATACTAAGGAAAACTATAACTATAACTATCTGTCTTCAACTCCTTCAAAGACCACAGAAGGATAATATATAAGCTCTAGAAATGACAGAGACATCTTGCCTTTTCAGTCACCCGAAGTTCTTCTGTAATCTTCCATCTTCAGCCCATAGGCCATAGTATGTCTGACAGACTCTCCAGTAAAGCAGAAAACTTTAAACTGTCTTCTTTATTGGCAGTTTGTCAGTCACTTTTCTCCGTGTCCTGCATACTGTCTCGAAGACTCTTCCACGAAGCAGGATCTCTGTAGCAATGTCCATCTTGAATCAGGAGTCACTTTCCTGTGGGTCCTGCATGTCCAGTTTATACAGCATAAAGTCAAACAGTCCAGACAAGAGCAGTATCTTGTCCAAATGGCTAGTCTTGCCATATTGGAAGCAAACTTCATAATGCATTTCTTCGATGTTCATCTTCCTTTCTGGTGCGGGTGGTATTGCCAAGAGCAATTATGTCTCACTGTCACAAAAACCCTAAACCACTTTAAATGCCATATTCTGTAGGTCTTTGAAAGGTTTGAAGAATTCCTATCTATCTCAAATACATCTCTGTGTATCTTGAAAAACCTAACTAACTTAACTCTAAGCTTGGACTATCATAGGTAATTATCTATAATCTGTACTACATTATACAATATGTTTCTGAATGAACTATATAAACACAATACCTAAACAAAAGGAGAAATATATACATCACAAAATTGACCTTAAATTGTATCAATAAATGAAAATCCATTCCAATACAAAGTATTCATATCTATACCATAATTCCCTTTTTACCTTTAAAAAGATATTGGTTGTGATCATTAACCATTTATACCCAAGTCCATTTAAATGAAAACAAACATTTATAAATATTTGGGAATTTGGGCGTCGTTCTTTCCAAACTACTTCCTGCTGACAGGGGGCGCTGTCATGGGGGGATCCTGAGAAGATGGCTGTAGTCTGCATGGCTGCTTTGTCCAAGCTGTTTTGAATGTTGGATCATCAGGAACTCTGTTTCAGGGGGCCTGGCTTGATCAAACCACATTAGTCTGGAAGGAATCCACAGCTTTTCAATTTCTGTGGAAACAAAAATAGAAATCCTTTTCCCCAGTAACTTGTCCTTGAACTTAAATTTTTGAGTCAAAGCATTTTTAAAATACATAAATTGAATTAATGCAGCAGCATTTCCTTTATCAGTTGTTATTTTCTCAGCAGTCAAACAATGCAGAGACAACACAATAGCATACAGTAACCAGATTCTCTCTGAGCTTTTCATCTTTACGTGGCTTTATTATTATATTTTTTATTTTACTTTTATTTTTTATTTTTTGACATAGGGTTTCACTGTGTAACTCTTATCTGTCCTGGAATTTACTCTGTATACCAGGTTTACTTTGCAAATCACAGAGATTTGCTTGCCTCTGTCTCCTGAGTGCTGGGATTAAAGGCGTGTGTTACAACACCCAGTTCCTCTTTGTCTATTTAAAACCATTTTATTTTTTTTCTCCCAAGCCTATGTATTTTTTTTTTTTAACACACTGTAAACTTTTAGCACCTTTTTTTAATGTGAATCTGTCTCTACTGTAAATCTATATCTTTTTTCTGGCCATGAGTCTTTATCTGTTAAACAACAACATTGTTAAAATTAAAGTCTTTGTTTCTGCCGCGGTTTACCAAAGATGGTGGCGGGTACTTTTACCGCCAGCACTGAGAGCTGTGCTCACCACCTTGGTCTGCGCTGCCACCCAGAAAGCATGCTGCCGGCTTGGAGATGTGGTCACTGCCATTGCCATCTCTCATACACGCCAATGAATTGTTAGCAGAGTTGTTTGAAAGCTGTGCGTTTTTTTGCCATTCAAGCTGAGTCAGGAACCTTCCCTTAAAGGAGCCGCGCGAATATCTGCTTGTCTCTAGCAAGTCAGAGTCCAACCGGGAAAAATGCTGTTACCAAGAAACCTTGCTTGTCTCTGTTCTTTTGTTTCTAAAACCCTTTTTTAAGCTTTTGTTAAATTTTAAGTGGAAGTCCTTATGCCCCACGTTGGGCGCCATTTGTAAGGGGTACGGTTTTTCTGCCTGCCGCCGCTGGTCTTGACCCGCCGCCACGCCGCCAGCCCCAAATAACACACAGAGACTCTGTATTTGATACAATACTGTTGGCCCGGTTACTTGTTACTTATCGGCTAGCTCTGCCTTAATTATTAACCCATTTCTGCTGATCTATGTATTTCTCTTACCGGGGAGCCGGTGGCATACTGCTTTCTTCAGACTCTCCATCTTGACTCCTCCTTCCTACTTCCTATTTCCTCCTTGTCTCCTAGTCCCTCCTATCTTCCTTTCCTATTGGCCAACAGTGCTTTATTATTAACCAGTATGAGAAACATATACAGAATGACATCTCCCATCACTTCCTGGCATGTTTTCTCCTTGCCCATCACAGCAGCTTCAATGTTACTTCATTCTCCTCCTTTCCCCTCTCTGGGTTTATCTTTGAAGGTAAGGTTTTGCAGTGTGGCCCAGACTAGTTTCAAATAGTAACTCTTCTGTGTTGGCTTCCCTGTGCTAGAGTCACAGCCAGCACCATCACTGCCCACCCCCTCTTCTGAGAAGGCTTTCTCCATGTGGTGATCAGGACTTTTTATTTGACAATACCAGGAACTTAATTCCAAAGAGATAAAGTGAAAGAGAAAAATGAGCAGAGCCCACAATCTTTTTATAGGCAAATATCTACTTGTAGACTCAGCTCTCCAGAGACAGGAGGATCCTGAGTTCAAAGCCAGCCTGCCTCAAAAAATAAAAGTATTAAGCCAGGCAGTGTGGTATACTTCTTTAATGCCAGCACCCCGGAGGTAGAGGCAGGTGAATCTGTGAGTTCCAACCCAGTCTGGTCTACAGAGTTAAGTTCCAGGACAAGCCAGGCCTATACAGGGAAACTCTGCTTGAAAAACCAAAATCTAATTAAATAAAAGTAATTTTTAAAAACTGGACAAGAGGGAGAAGGGAGAAGGATGGGAGAAGGGGAGGGAGGGGGAACTGGTGTTGGTAAAATGAAAAAAAAAATTTAAATAAACAACTGAACAAGATACCAGCCAAGTTATGGCATGCAACTTTGGGAAGGTCAAAGGCAGCTAGGCTTCAGGAACTCACAATGCACACACTCAGTCCTTACTCCTTGAGTTTGTGTCCTCTTCATTCCCCTGCATCGTTCTTCCCCCAAGATAGGAAAGCTGGCTGTTAGCCTTCGTGCCCCACATAGCCTTGGAGGAACTTGCTTCTATCTATTTCTAAGGCCTGAAGAAGAATCTTTTGACTGGTTGGCAATGGCCAACATGGTCATGTGCCATAGGCAGAGTCTTTAGGAAGGGTGGAGGTGTAGCTCAGTGGTAGTTCCTGCCTTCAGTAACACCCCCACACCAACACCTTTTCCCTAAAAACAAAACCCCACTGTATTGCCTTCAGAGGCTCACACTTAACATTTCAGACCACAAGTGTAAGTGGGGAATTATGCATTTCTTCCAGTGGGGTATCAGGTAGATTGTTCAAGTTTTAATATTGGTGATTCCCTGGGGTAAATAGAATCCTGAGATGGAAGTGTCATTGAGGAAATGCGAGGCTTGTCTGGTTTATGTGAGTTATGTAAGAGAGACTTGCCACTTGAAATGCAAACTTCCAGATGCCACCAGTACCCACTTTCCCCTCCCACTCTAACTCCTAAATTTTAGTTTAACAGAGACTAGGATTAGATTTCTCAGTCTGCTTGCCCTTACCTGATCAAGAGATGCTATTTTAGACATTGGGATAAGCCTGTGTTGCATGAGGTGTCTTTGGAGGTAAGTGGTACACTTTGTACCACTTTCCTTGTCTGTGACCTAGAATGTAGATGATTTGCAGTCAGAGCAGCTGCCTTATACTTTGAGACAGGCTGAAGTGAAGGTGATAGAGCAACAATACAAAAGGAGCACGGGACTGTCAGTCTGTGTAGATTTGTGTGAGGAAGATTAATTTGTATGTATTTAAGCCTGCTACTATTTTGGGTTTGTGTTTTACAACCAATATTTAATCCTATGCTGTTTACCTGCAGGTGGGAAACCAGTAGATCAATAGCAGTGGGAAGGCCTGTTGGTAAAGGACCTAAGCCCCCTGCTATTTGTAAATCAGCATTCACTGTTGGGTTTTTCTCATTGCACTAGTCCAGGGGATGTTATTGTTTGCCTTTCTTGACCAGCTTTCCCCAGATGTATCATTTCAGAGCATTTCTGTCCGTTTTACACCCTGTATAGCAGGAGTCTGAATCTGAGTAAATTGTTATTGCCTGACCAGGCCCCCTACACTCCACTACCCTGATATCATATCAAGAGGCTTCTAGCTGAAGAGTGTATCAGTGGTTAAAAGCATTGACTGCTTTCCAGAGGTCACATCTGGAACTCCAGTTGTCAGGTAGGGGAATCTGCTGCCCTCTGCTGGCCTCCTGGTACACAGACATATATATGGGCAAGCAAAACATCCATACATATATTATAATCAAATTTCACTGAGCTTCATAATGCACGCCTTTAATTCTAGCACTCAGGAAGCAGAGGCAGACAGTACCCTGAGCTCATAGTCTGACCTCAAGCAGACAGAAGGTAACTGGGACCTCTAACTGGGACATGTAACAAGGTTGAGGACCACAAGGGTAGCAGGATAACAGATTCAGCTGGGAGGCTGTCAAGGCTGATCCCACCCCTCGCTGCTACCCACTCCCTAGAGTTCCCAAAGACTGGTCCACTTCAATGGCTTGGGCTGCATCTTTTATTTCACATCATAGCTTCTGGAGTATCACTGCTCTCCAGCTTGAAGCTTCATGGCTTGAGTGCACCTTTGAGCTCAGCACTTGCCATCCTTCATGATCTGGATGTCCTTTTTGGTTTTTCTAGAATTAAAGAAGATAAGAATGAAGGTGCTAACTGTAGCGCTAATTCCTAATGTTGAAACAACAAAACCATGGATTCCTTGAACTCATGAGTTCAAGAGCAAGCAGGGCAACATAGCAAGACCCTGTTTCAGAAAGAGGAAAGGAAGGAAAGGCAGTTGCTCTTACCGGCCTTCTTTCCCTCACCCTTTAAATCCAATTGTAGACTAAGCCTGTCAGTTTTACCCCAGTGTATCTCCTACCCATGAATCTTGATTAAGACCTTTTTCAAAGCCAGGACTGTGTTGTACATTTCTTCCAATACAGAGTTTTACATCTGCCTAGACAGCTTTGCATTGCCGAAAGTTTCTCCTCCATGATCTCACTGGGCCGTCAGTCTAATTGATAATTTTACTGGTGAGAAAACTGAGTCCAAGTACATGATGTAATGTAGCCCCCATTCATCTCATGTATCCCTACTCCCCCATTTCACATTCTAGAATGTCCCATTTCTTTTATTTCCTTAAGCATAAACTAATTTTCCTTTATAGGTCTTTCTAAATTCCCCTTCTACTTGGAATTATCTTTCCTTTTTTCTAGCTGATTTCTTCTTACGTTGCAGGATGGGCTTGGGTTTTCCCCCTCTAGTCTTCCCTGGCCCTGCTCCTTTTCATTTCCTGTGTGCTCCATCTCAGTCTGAGCTATGCTGCTGTTGACTGACTGTGGCTTCTCTCACTTACTTGGCTTGACTCCAAGAGACTAGAGAGGCTCTCAGGAACTAGCCGTAGTAAGTGCTCAAAAACAGTTGGCTAGTTGGATGACAGATCAGATGAAATTGTCTAGTCACTCAGGCAATCTCAGGGTTTCTGCCGCTCCCTCTGCATCTGTCAGTTTCTGGCTTTTGACCTGGGCCCTGTGCCTCCTGTGAGTTACATTTAACTCGTTCTGTTAGACAAATGTTTGAGGATTCTTCTGGCCAAGTCCATGTGTTTGACAGAAGGTGAGCTCAAGCCCTGTTCCTTTCAGACATGCATGTTCCAGAGAGGGGCCACTCAAGCAAGATGGGGAGGGGGGACTTACATCCGGGTCACGCAGAGATAGCATTCATTTTTGTATGTCACCCCATCTGTGCCACAGATCAGTTTAGGTGTTTGGGGACACTTTGGAGATGCTGCCATGTGCTCACAGATGGGCTATGGGAAACAGAAGTAGTAGGGAAATTTAGAGGCAGTGGCCCAGGGCCCAGGGGTTCTGCTTGGAACCTGAAATCAACTATGGGATGTTTGCTTGTGTGTGTGCATGTTTCTGGTTATGCATGTAAGTTGGAGCCTGTTTTGATGCCTGGTGTGTGTGACATCCTACCTACTTTCTCTCTCTCACCCCCCCCCCCCCGTGTGTGTGTGTGTGTGTGTGTGTGTGTGTGTGTGTGTGTGTGTGTGTAGCAAGTTTGTGCCCTCAAGCTCCTGGGGATTGGTTCACACACTCTTCAGTAAAAATATAACTAGGAATTCTGCTGCTGCTCTAATTGTGAGTCCAGTAAACAGCCATCTGTCATTCCTAGGGAATGTCTCACACTCTAGGGTCTCCAGTACTTACCAAGGCCAATATGGTCTTTGTGTGTGTGTGGGGGGGGGGGCTACATGTATGCAGAGGCCATTGAATATTGGATATTGTTCCTTAGGAACCATTCACCTTATTTTATTTGGGACAGGTTCTCTCATGGCCTGAAACTCACCAGGGAGACTAGGCTATCAAGCCCTAGGGACATCTCTATCTCCACAAGCCCTAGGATTATATCGATGCTGGATATCAAAAATTTGCAAGGCAAGCAGTTAGTGAATGGGCCCCCCCCCCCCCGCCCCCCTGCATGGTCTTCTAGGCCCTTGTGGGAAGGCTGAAGAAATGGTTCAGGCCTGAAAGATTAATTAGTGTCAGACTTAAAGGTTCCCAGGTTGAGAGAGAACATAGTCAAGATCTGGGTTGGAGCCTGGAAGAAGGAGGTGAGGGAGGCAGGGCAGGGTAGCAATAGAAAGGCCATGCTCTACAGCTGGGCATGGTGGCACACACCTATAATCCCAGCTGTTGGAAGATGGAGGCAGGAGGATCAGAAGTTTGAGCTTATCAGCGCAACCAGGTGAAAATCAGCCTGTGCTACCCAAGGCCCTGTTTCAAAGAACGGAACAAGACAACTGAAGTCTACACCCTGGAGACCCCAGTTCAGCCACTGACTGGCTTTGTAAACTTAGGTGGGCTAGTTCCATTCTCAGGGCCCCAGTTTCCTCCTCAGCGAAAATGGGAGAAAATCTCAACATGGGATTAGCTGAAGTCATGTATATAAAGGATTTGGCTCTTTGGAGCCAAATAAGTGGAGCTCGATTCTAGGGACTAAGGACCAGGGAAGAGGATGCTTGGGCAGGTGGCTCTGAGAACCCTACAGATGCCCTGTCACTGAGGGTCTGAGACTAAGGTGGAGTCAGGAAGGGAGACTTGGTGTTTCCCCACTTAGAGGGAAGGGGTGAGTGAAGAGATATGCTTCGGAAAGGCCGCCATGCTCCACAGAGCCGTTTAATGTGATGGGGTCACCTCTTTGCCCTGGAACCTGTGGCCTGTCTTGTGCTACACAAAGCACAGCAGCTGGGTGTCGTACTGTGCTGGGTGGGGAGTGCCCACCGAGGAAGGGACCTTGGAGACAGGTTTGGGGCCAATCCTGAGAGCTGAGGTCAGGCTAGGAGCTTGGACCTGCTCAGTCCAGAGGCCACTTTGGCTGCCTTGGGACCTTTGAGAGTGTCAGGGGAAGGGTGGCTGTGTAGAGTGGATGAGCAGAATCCTGCAGAGGGATGGTCTTACCATTCTCGAGAAAACAAGTTTTCCTGCTGACACCTGCCCCCCTGAAAGACAAAAAGAGCAGAACAAGATGCTGTCAGCTCCGGCTGCCAGGCCAGGGTCTGAGGACTTCTCCTGGCCTGGGGCACCTGGCCCTGGCACCATCGGCCTGGATTTCTTGAGGAAAGGTAGTGAGACGAAGATGGTGGGGCTGCCAGGAAGCTGGCATGTTCTAGACATGGAAGTCTAGAATTAGGGGCCCAACCTGCTTCTAATTATTCAGATCCCACTGGAATTTTTGGGTCCTTTCAAATAATAATAAAAAATCAGCAGTTAGCTGTGCTGGACATTGAGAATACATGTGTTTTGGTAATCTTCATAGCTCTCATCACTCTGTAACAGAAGAAAGAGTGGAGGTAGTAAATGCTGTATCTGCTGCCCAGAGTCCAGTACAGGACTGAGGTACCAGCCCCAGCTGCCAGGAGTGCTAGCTGTTCACAACCAGTCCCTTGGGAATTAGCCTCATGGGATGAAGCTGCTTCACCCAACCTTGCCTCCTATGTCATGGGCATCCCTCAACAATAGTGTGACTGCTCCAAAGTCACCCTGCTCCAAAGCTTCCTGCAGGGCCACCTGACACATAGGTTACACTCAGCCAACTTTCTTGTTCCCACACTTCCCAGCAAATGCATGAAGTCTGCTGGAACACTTGACTGACCTATGAAAGGCTCAGAGAACGCAAATGACATGGTTGGATAAGACAGATTCCCTACACAAACAGTCATAGCCCTCAAGGTTTGACTGAGGTCATGAGCAAAGTGGTGTGACCATGGGCATGGCCAATGGGCAAGAGAACTTGAGCCACGTTTAAGGCCCAGGTAGGAGGAAGAGTGGCTCTGAGAGTTGGAGAAGGGATGGATGGTTCCAGATGCCTCTGAAGGGCTGTCTAGGGTCCAATGGAGAGATGGGCTCTTCTCACCCTTACACAAGGGAATCCATCAGTGCAGGAAGCTTCAGGGAGGTGGACTATGATTCGGTATGGCACAGAAAAACTGTGTTATCATAAAGGAAGCTGTCTCCAGCACCAGAGTTCCACATCTACTGCACGGTTAGCCGATTTGACCTTTTCTTGATGAATTCCCAGGCACAGAGAAAAAGGAACTAAAGCTAAGTCATCTCTAGTGTCCTTTGTCAGTCTGGCAATGGAGGATCGAATTGTAAATCTAACCTTGCCACCACACTGCTCAGAGTCTTCTCTGTCATGCCTGCCATAACTAAGGATGACCTAAATGTCCTCCTACAGGAGAACAGTGAAAGTGTGAAACTTGTATACAGTGGAAGTACTACTTGGCAAGGAAACAATCACAGCCAAGAAGCAGGTCATGAGGAGTTAGACAAGTCTGAGGCCAGCCAGGACTACAGAGTGAGTTCCGGGCATCCTGGCTGCAGAGTTAAGCCTGTCTTAACACACAAATAAACAGCAAAAAAAAGCAACTAATGGCCGTGGCGTGTGTATTAATTACTTTATGTTGCTGTGATAAAACATCATGACCAAAAGCAACTTCTGAAAGGAGAAATTTATTTTTATCTTGTGGTTCTAGTGGGCTAAGAGTCCATCATGGCAAGGAAGCATGGCAGCCATCTGTAGGCATGGCGGCTGGAGCTCCCCATCCTCAACCACAGGTGCAAAGACTGTAAGCTTGCAGAACTGACCCCCAGTAGTTTCTTCACCAAGGTTTAGTCTCACAAAGGCTCCACACCTTCCCAAACAGCACCCCACTGGGTACAAGTGTTCAGATGCCTGAGCCTGTGGAAGACATTCCCTTCCAAACCTCTAGTGAGAATGCCTGCAATCCCATTCATTACTCAAAGGGGCCGAGGCATGGGGATCAGGGATTTGAGAGCAGCCTAGACTACAAAAAGAGACCCTGTCTGAAAACAAACAAACAAACAAACAAAAAAAAAAAATCAGAAAACGGCTGGAGAGATGGCTCAAAGCACATACTACTCTAGCAAAGAATGGAGTTCTGATCCCAGCACCCATACTGAACATCTCACAGCTGCCCTTAACTCCAGCTCCAGGGTGCCCAATGCCCTTTCCTGGCCTCCCCGGCTACCCACACTCATTTACATATCCCACGAGGAACACACACATATGCATAATTTTAAAAAGTAAATCTTTTAAAAGCTAAAACACAATAACAGCAACAATGAAGGTACCTGATATACACACTTGAGACTAAACTGCAAAAATATTTAGCTGAGCAAAGGAAACAGGCACAAAAGTCTCTATCGTGGGATGCCATTCGTGTCACATCTAGAGCAGATCTGCTAGTGTGTGATACAATGGAGGCGGCAGATCAGGGTGACCTGGAGGTATGTGTGTGCGGTTGCCTCTGAGCACTGAGCAGTATTGCCCCCTCTGAGTCAAGGAAGGACCAGGATGGACTAGCAGGAGAGAAATTTCTGTGTCTTTGTTTGCTTGTGGAGACAAAGTCTTGCTGTGTGGCCTTGGCTGGCCTGGAACTTGCTATGTAGATCAGGCTGGCCTCAAACTCATTCATGTGCTTCTGCCTCAAATCCTGGGATTACAGAAGTGCAATCCCAGCTGAGACAGGTTTTCCTCATGTAACAGCCCTAGATGTCCTGGAAGTTGCTCTGATCAGGCTGGTCTCAGATTCACAGAGATCCTCTTGCCTCTGCCTCCCAAGCACTGGGATTAAAAGTACATGTCACTACTGCCAATCAAATTCTGTCTTGATTGATAGAGGTCTGGGACACATAGGTGTGTGCATTGTTACAGCTCATGCATAAGCTTTACTGAGTAAAAATGGTGTGTTTCAGCCTTGTAACTATTAAGAGAAAGGCGTTTACAAAGGCTGAGTGAATGTGATGGGAGAGGCCTATAATCCCAGCATTTTGGAAGTTGAAGCAAAAAGATTAAAAAAAAAAAATCAAGCTCAGAGTGAACTATAAAACAAAACAAAAACTTCAAACATTTCAAAGGCACAAGGACCTTCCCTGGCTCCCATCCCTGAGTGTCTGGACCAGCACTCCACAGTCACATGTTTGAACTGACCCCAGCCTTGCTCCTTGGGCTTTCTATCGTCCATGTCCCATGACCCAGAGATTGCTCACTGCTCTTGGTCCTGGAACAGGGGCTTCTTTGACTCATGCGGATCTGCTGCCTGAGATGTCCCCACCCCCACTCTCCTCCACTGAAGTCACATCATCCTTCCAAGGCTCAGGCGCTATCCTCCCCACCCCACAGTTCACTAAGCAGACCTGGATTTGAGCTGTGTCACAAAGCCAAGTGCTGTCCCACTGGGTCACCCTGCCTCCCTGTGAGCCCAAGCCTCTTGGGGTTCCTGTGACACCCCATCAGTGCCCCGCCCAGGGATTATTCAGGAATTGAGCACTGAAGTGTGTTGCGGGAGAGTACAGAACCCTTTTGGGGTCAGAATTTCTTCCTGGGGTTGTGAAAAAGTTGCATTTAATCCCAGACATCCTTTGTGCTTTCCCGGGGTGAGCCCTTCTTCATTCAATCAAGGCTGGAATCTAATGTATTGGTGGACCTTCAAGCAGGCTGCTTAATGTTCCCAATGGAGGAGCTGCTTGGAGAACAGAGGTGGGAAAGCAAGTCGCCTCTGTCTGACCAGAGCCTGCAGGCCTCTTCCTCACCAACTCAGCTGCCAGGTCTGTGACTAACATGAGGTAATGGGCATGGAGTCAATGGCCCTGAGGTTTTGCCAGGTTTCTGCTTTATAATGTTATGGCTCTTGTCCAGTGAATCCCAGTGGGTCTGTCTGTTTCTCTGTTCTTTTTATTCTCAACATACAAACTAGAGCATTCTTTCAAGGTCTGACCACTCCAAATATGGCACTGGCTCCCACTCCACTCAGAGGAAAAGGTTCTCACATTAACTAAGACTGCCTAAACCAGCTGTCCCTCCCCTCTCCTCCCCTCCCTTCCTCCCCTCTCCCCTCCTCCACTCCCTTCTCCTTCCTTCCTCTTCCCTTCTCCCCCCCTCCTTCCCCTCTTTCCCTCCCCTCCCCACACTCGCTCAGTCTGTACCATGCTCTTCGCTCCCTCCATCCACATAGTACCTCAAACATTCCAGACATGCTTCTACATCAGGGCCCTTGCATTGGCTGTTCCCTCCACCAGAACATTCTTGCCAAAAAATATCTTTGCTCCCTCACCTTCTTCAAACTTTCCTCACACCCAAACCTGCAGCTCCCTCCCAACCCCCAACAACCAGCCTATATTTTTCTTAGCCTTTTTTGTGTTCTTGCATACTCTTTATTGTCTGTTCTTCTCCTCGATCCCACTAGGTTTAAGCTCTGTTGGGATGACACTTTTTCTTGTTTTGGTCCCTTATATGTTAAGGGGCCAGAAAAGTAGCTGTGAGTCTGCTTAGGTGCTCCAGGCCTGAGGAAGTTCACCTCTGGCCACCCAAGGGCCCCCGCCATCTGCTTAACTGGTTGTCCTAGCTTGCATACTACACCCTGTGAAAGCAGAACACGAACCTGAGGCCCAGGCCAAGTCTCTCTTAGCACCTGCCACCCCACAGCCAACCTGAGGCCTGACTGCTCCTTTTGTTTCCCCAGCCTCCAGTCCATAACGCTCAGGGAAGCTTCGAACTGGAAGTCCACCCCACTTCACAGTGCCAAGGGGCAAGGGCTTGGCAGTTTTGGTCCGGAGTCAGGACTGAACCCGTTTATTTTCTCTTAGTCCCTGTCTTGCCTACTATACCAATGAATGAAGAAGGTAGAACTATACAGCAAGCCCAGCCCTCACAGGAAGCTCCAGACCTTGCCTAAGCCCTCACTCCCAAGCTCACCTCCCAAGATCAAGCTTCAAAGAAACTAGGTTCTGCTCACTCACCACTGTCCATGGCAAGGAGGGCAGCCAAGGTCAGGGTGACCATCCACAGGTGCATAGCCATGCTGCTTGTGAGGTGGCCTGGGCCAAGAGTGAGGTTGGGGTCTATTTATTGCATTGATATCCACCCTTATCTTATCTGGAGCCAGTTGGCAGCCAGAGTGTCACCCCAAGTTAATCTCTTTATCCTGGCACCTGGAAAAGGATTGCTCCAGGCATGATGCCCACTTTCTGGTAGTATGGTGCTGGGGCCATCCGGGGGCCAGGACTGGGGCTAGGGCTAGGGCTGGGCAGATTTCCAGAGTGAACAAGGTTTGGACAGTTTGCGAAGCTGACTCAATTATCGATTAAACAAGTGGGGAGGAATGGAAGCAGAGAGAAACGTCGAACAGAGCAGAAGGCAACAGGAGGCAAGGGATAGGGAAGAGAGTCACGGTGGCTTTGCCAATGCCACCTCTGGCGAATCTGTGACTTCAGAAAGACCACTTTCCTTATTTGACCTCTGTTGTGTGTTTGTGTGGTCTTGTGTCTCGAGAGTGCTGGGCAAATGCTTTCTGCCCATGCATCCCCAGCCCTCTTTTCCCTCTTTGAGACAGGGTCCCACTTAGTTGCTTAGTCTGGCCTTGAGCCTGCTCTGTAGACCAGGCAAGTCTTGAACTTGAGTTTTCTGCCTCATCCTTCCAAGTAGTAACACCAGGCCTGCCCAACAGGGTCTCAGTTTACCCATACACGAGACAAAGATGATAGTTCTGGCTCTACCTACATCCTAGTGCTGCACGGAGGACAGTGGTGGGGACAGCACACAGGAATGTGAGGAATGGAGTAAGCAAGTGTAGATAGAACTGATTTTCAAAACTTTTAAAAGAGATTTTTAAAAAAGATTTATTTATATTTTGCACATATGAGTGTTTTGCCTGTGTGTGTATATGTGCACCATGTGTATGTTTGTTGCCCTGGGAGATCAGAAGTGAGTGTTGAAGCCGGGCGGTGGTGGTGCACCCTTTAGTCCCAGCACTGGGGAGGCAGAGGCAGGAGAATCGGGAGTTCAGCATCATCCTGAGCCTCACAGGGAGTCTGCACCAGCCAGGTGAAACTCTGTCACAAGAATTATTACTATTGTCATTATTTCATTTTTTGAGACAGGCCTTCTTTGTGTTATAATCCTGGCTGTCCTGGAACTCACTCTGTAGACCAGGCCTAGAACTCACAGAGATCTGCTTCCCTCTGCCTCCTGAGTGCTGGGATCAAAACTGTGTGCCACCACTACCTAGTGAATTTTTTTTTTAAGGCTGGGTTTTTGGTAGAGTACCTGTCTAGCATGAATGATTGATTCCCTGGGTTTGATCCCCTCACCACTAAAACACACACACACACACACACACACACAAATAAAAACAAAGCACTGCCTTTTCTGAGCTTATTGTGAAAGAGTTATTTCATTGTGAAAGATTCCAGGCCTCAGAGAAGTTGCAGGGAGATTCATTGGATGTCAGCAGGCAGTGAACAGGCATTTCTACAGACCAGACTATGGTAGAGCCCTGCCTGTAGTCCCCCCCTGGTCTTTGATTCTTGTTCAAAATCCTGCCCCTCTGAAGGGACCTGCATAGTCTGTGAATGCCCGAGGCAGGTGGCAGAGCCCTTCCCCTGCTAAGCTAAGCAAATACTTAATGATGATTTCCTGTCATCAAGCAAGGTCCTCAAAGTCTGGTTACCCATCTTCCACTCAGGCTTCCCCCAGCAGCTCCAACCAGGAAGACGCTGATCCTGCAGTGATGGGGAGGGCTCACTACCTACCACTTTCATCATTGGAAGACTTTGAACACAGCCCTTGACCCAAGGGGCAGATCTGCTGCCCTGAAGCTCTTTGGGGGGGTGTCTCAGGTTTGATTCTGGCCTCCTGAGCCTGCAGAAATACCAGTGAACAGACCTCCCCCTTGCCTGCTCCCCACCCCTCCTGCACACAGTGAGGTTTCTGGAAATCTCTTCGTTGCCTAGCTGATCTCCTGGCCTGTCCCACCTCAGAGTAAGAAAGGGACAGAAGGGACATAGGAATTTGTCTCCTCCCTCATTTTGAACTCCAGATCTTATCAATATGGCAAGATACTGCCATTTTTGTATTATGATATGGTCACAAGCCTTTGGGGGCCAGGAGTGGAATGTGGTGGCTTGAAAGAAACTGGCTCTCAAAGGGAGTGGCACTATTAGGAGGTGTGGCCTTGTGGAGTATGAGTGGTCTTGTTGGAAGAAGTGTGTTACTGTGGAGGTGGGCTTTAAGGTTTTGTATATGCTCAAGATACTGCCCAGTCCCTGGTGCACAAAAGGACTTTGGGAACACATTCCCCATGGAGGGATACTCCCTTAGCCTAGAGGCAGGAGGGAGGGCCTAGGCCCTACTCAAAATGATTTGACAGATGTTGTTGACCCCTCCTAGAAGGTATCACCCTCCCTGTGGAGTGGGGGTGGGGTGGGATGGGAGGGTGGTTGAGGGACATGGGAGGGTAGGAGAGAGGGAAGGAGGGAAGGATCGATATGTAAAATAAGAAAAAGAAAATTAAAAGATACTGCCCAGTTGTCACAGTCCACTTCTGGTTGCCTTCTGGTCAAGATATAGGACTTCTCCAGCATCAAGTCTGCCTGCACACAACCATGCTGTCTGCCATGATGATAATGGACTGACCCTCTGAACTATAATCTGCCACCTCAATTAAATGCTTTCTTCTATAAAAGTTTCTGTGGTGATAGTGTTTCTTTATAATAATAGAAACCCTAACTAAGACACTACCAATGGCTCTACTTGCTGTAAGGAAGCAGGAATCTGGAACTGTGCATCCTTCAGAGTACAAGGGGTAGTCAAGTCATGCCAAGTCCTCCACCATCCAACCCTGACAAAGGTCATTCTCTGGACACTTTCTAGATTCATTCATAGTAATTTCCTAACCTGTCATCCCATCCAAGTATGGGCTTCACTCCTGTATCTGCTTGCCATTGCATGATACCCTATGACAGTAAATCCATTTACATGAGCCCCATTCATAAATGCACAACCCATTCATTAATATGTGTTTAAGGAGCAGCTAAATGCCAAGCTCAATGCTGAAAGCATCAGTGCATTAGGGAACAACTCGATGGTCTCCCTCCCCTCCTAGGAAGCTTGTGGTACAGTGGGGTGACAGGTTCTAACTACAATGGTACTTTCTCATTGGGACTGCCAGCTCACAAATAATGACAGGGAGACATACATTAATTATGTATGTAATTATAATCAGTCTTCAGCTTAGGCTTGTCTCAACTAGTTCTTATAGCTTAAACCAACCCATTTCTATTAATCTGTGTTTTGTGGTGTGGCATTACCTCTCTTCATCTTGTACCTTCTGTTTCCTCTCCATCTGGGTGGTGATTCCACCCTTCTTCTTCCCAGAGTCCTCTTTGTCCCTCGAAGTCCTGCCTAACATCTTCCTGCCTAGTTATTGGCCACTCAGCTCTTTATTAAATCAGTCAAAGGCACCTTGGCAAAGACATGTCTTTACAGTGTAAACACATATTCTACAACATCTAACCAAGCAGTTGAACTGTATGGTCACCATCACAGTAAATCCTATAAATGAGACATATGAGAGAAATTAAAATAGATCTGTCTGTGGGGATGGTCCAAGAAAGCCTGGGAGTAAGGCAGACTGTACCTTTCTGGAATGGTGCTGTAGACAGAGGGAATGATGTGAGAGACCTGAAGCAGGCTTGTTATAAACAAAGAATAGAAAAGCCCTGCAGGGAGGTAAGGTCAGTTAGCTGGGGAGGAGAGTGTGATGACCCTCTGATAGTCCCTGGAGTCAAATACTCCTTGATCTCTGCTGCCTACCCCATGCTCCAGTAGCATCCAAGAATGGGATCTCAGAAACTAACCTCTAGCCTTGTTTGCCTTACCATTGAGTGTGTATGTCTGCCTCCTAGACATTTCTTTTTTTCTTTTTCTTTTCTTTTTTTTTTTTTTTTTTTTTTTTTTTTTGGTTTTAGACAGGGTCTCCTATAGCACAGGCTAGCCTCAAACTCACTATGTAGGCAAAGCTGTCCTTTGGCTGCTCTGGGATGCACAAAAGGCCAAGAAGACAGCTCTGGATCAGGAATGAGGCAGACTGGGTTTGTTTACTTATTCAACAAACGTTTGCTAAATGTCTCTCATGTTCTATGTGTTTTCTAATCACAGGGACTCAGCTGTAAGGGGGACAAAGTCCCTGTTGTAAGGCACTTGTGTCTATTGGGTAAACAGACAACAAAGAGGTGGAGGAGGAAAACTGTGTGGTGCAAGGCCGAGTGAAGGGGTGGTGGTGGTGAAGGCTGCTCTTTTAGATAGAACACATGAGCAGAGAATGAACAAGCTTTGCAGATCTGAGGGAAGAACTTTCCAAGCAGAGGGATGGTGGGAACAAGTTCAGTGGTCTCAAAAAGCAAATACCAGGAAGTACATTATAGCCAGGGTGAGACAAATAAGAAAATAACCTGCAAGTCCCAGCCAGCCACCAGCTCCTTGGTGAACCTGAGCGCATGCCTGCTCCTCTTTGGGGCTGCACGTGTTCCCTCATCTAAGAAATGGGTTTGGGCTAGGGAGATGCTCTATGGGGAAGGGTGGGTCCTGCTCTTGCAGAACTGCCTGTAACCCTAGCTACAGGGTACATGTCACCCTCTTCTGGCCTCCAAAAGCCCTACACTCACATGCAAATACTGCCCTAACACATACGCACAACTAAAAATAAAACAACCTTTTTAAAAATAGCCCTGAAAATGCACACGGCCAGCAGATTAACTCCCAGAAGGCTGTGAGGCCCCTGGAGAGGAGAGTATGAGACTGGTGCAGCCATCAGACACCAGGAAAGGGAACTGAGCAGGGACTCCTGGAAGAAGAGGGGCAAGGCCTATGCAGGTGCTGGGATTGGTGCAATTAGAACAGAGATGCCTAAACCCGGGCACCAACAGGGGTGCTGGACAGTTCTTCATCTGCCCTACTGGGGTAAAGGCCAGGACGGTGTTTTGGCTAGGCCAGCGCTCCTAGCCTCCCAGGAGCCTTCATGTTATCTGCTCAGC